CCCCGCGTTCACCAACAGTCGTGGACGACAGCATGTCGTACTACACCAGCGTTTCGTCGGCATTGCCTATCTGGCCTAGCATGTAGCCATGCTGCCGCCAGAGGCTGTTCACGTAAAGTTGAAACTGTATCAGTTTGTCCTCGTACATCTCCGGTAGCTTCTGGCATATTGTCGTGCGCTGTCTAAGGGCAATTGCACGAAGTAACGGACCCAATAAATGAATCCCTTAAAATCTTTCCTTGACAGACCGGCTTCACGGGCGAGCTCGACAGCTTTTGTGCGAATGAGCTCCGCATTCACTAGCAGGGATCTGGCATGGTACTCGCGGACGAAATCCGCCACTTTGTCCTCGAATTGCGGGTGCACAGCTCGGCGACTGCGAAATGACGTCTTCCTCGCGTTACATGCTGAAAGTTTGGATTTTTGGTTCTGCCAGTACCCGACGCTTTTCTTGGACACTCCAAACTGCTGCTGTGCCGCCATGTTGCCATTCGCTTCCATGAACTCAATAACTTTTCTTTTAAACCGGCGGTGCACTAGCGCCGTGCCCCAGAATTCATAGCTGGCCACAGAGTAAGGTCGCCACTCGCTACGAACACTGAATGAACAAGAAAAGAAAAACGGCATCGGCAGAGAACGCGTCAAGTGTCGGCCCAAGGAGGCGATGTCGATGCTGATGCCCAAAAAGCATGCGACACTCCCTCAGACAATCTTTTGGTTTATGCCAAAGGCCGGAATATTTGTCGAGGGTTGACTTTTTAGTGAGTGACAGTTTTCGGAAAAAATCTTGACCTATATTCCGCACTATATGGTACTCAACGAACGACCATATTCATACTATCAATCAGGTAATAAAGAAATGCTCACAATACACCCAACCACTATACATAGCCTTCATAGATTACGAAAAGGCATTTGATTCAGTAGAGATATCAGCAGTCATGTAAACAATGCATAATTGACGAAGCATATATAAACATCTTGGAAGAAACCTACAGAGGATCAACTGCCACCATAGTGCTCCATAAGGAAAGCAACAGAATAAGATGAAAGAAGGGTGTAAGACAATGAGATACAATCTCCCCAATGCTATTTACCGCGTGCTCACAGAAGGTTTTCAGAGGCCTCAGATGGGAAGAGTTAGGGATATGAACAGTTAATGGAAAGCACCTTAGTAACCTGCGCTTCGCTGATGGCATTGCCTTGCTGAGTAACCTAGGGGACGAATAGCAATACAGAATTAGACAAGGAGAGCAGAAAGGTAAGGTCTTAAAATTGATCTACAGAAAACAAAAGCAATGTACAACAACCTCAGAACAGAACTGCACTTCAAGATAGGTAGCAGTGCCCTTGAAGTTGTAAAAGAGTGTGTCTACTTAGGACAGGTAGTAACCATGGAGCCGAATCACGAGATTGAAGAAACTAGAAGAATAAGAATGGAGTGAAGCATATTCGGGAAGCATTCTCAAATTATGACTGATAGATTGCCACTGTCCTTCAAGAGGAAGGTATCTAACAGTTGTATCTTGCCGGTACTTCCCTACGGAACAGAAAACTGGAGTTTTAAAGAGAGGGTTCAGCTTAAATTGAAGACGACACAGCAAGCGATGAAAAAAAAAAAATGGTGGGTCTTACCTTAAGAGAAGAGAACAAAGCAGAGCTAGTCAGGAAACAAACCACGGTTAAGATATCGTAGTTGAAATGAAGAAGAAGAAATGGACATAGACCAGGCAAGTAGCTCGTCGGCAGGATTACCACTGCTCATTAAGGGTAAATGACTGGATTCACAGAGAAGGCAAGTGGGTGAGGGGGAGACAGAAAAGTCGCCGCTTTGCCGCGAAGGCGAAGAAATGAATACGATAGCAACAAATTGGAAGGTCACGCACAAAATGGCAAGCAGATCGAAACGTTCCCCACATTTCTCACGCACAAATGATGCACGAAGCGTACTCACAGGTACGGATGAACGTGAATAAGGGTCTCAGTTGTTACTTCGCTGTGTCTGAAAAGCGCGCCCTTTTCGCAAACAGAGGCTGTACAACGATTGCAGTGACTTTTGTGTGCCCGGTGACAGAAGAATCGTTCCGGCAAACCCCAAAGGCTAGCCAAGAGGTACGTTCCTCCCCACTGCAAAATAAGGGCGCGCGATCCAGTGCACACCCACTTATTCTCTATGCGGCTCAAGGTACGCATGAGAGATGAGAGCCGCCGTGCGATCATTGCGCCACCATGCTAATAATGCTGAAAACTTGATAGTTCCCCCCTCCCCGAGATGCCCACCAACAGCGGTAAGTGGTAGATATAAATAGCTTGCGGTTTGAATGTTAAAGGAGGTATCCTTCAGTTTCTCAGTGGTTAACGTCTCACATTCACAACGCGGAGGTCCCACGTTTGATTCCGCACGCCAGAGTCTTTTTTTTTCGATTTTCTTTCCTTCTTGTGTTTTTATATACAGTCAAACCTCAATAGTGCGTACCCACTTTAATCGTACTAATGGTTAAAACATAGTTGCGACGAAAGCTTGACCAAGTCTCATAGAGACTGATGCATTGGCAGACCGCTTAAGCCGTAGTGTTCGGCCTATGCTTACCGGTTAGTGCGCACTAACTGCGCACTGAGATAACATTTTGGGCAACAAAATTTTACTGCTCCTCTGAACTTGCAGGTGCCACAATGTGCCGTGAACGTTTTTCCGTCATATTGATAAGTCTGCGAGATTAGCCAATAAATTATTACAGGTTCCGCGCGATGGCGGTGATGACGCTGCGAGTAACCATCGGGGAAAAAAACGAAGACGAGGTGGCGACCACTGACAAACACGCCGGTATGACTTATCGCCGACGAAAAGCCTTATCACAGTAAGCATCCGCGGTTATCTTTTCAGGCACGCGTGTGGCGTAGCGTCACTTTAGGCCTACTGCACGCTTTTAGTGGGCGGCTACCAGAACGCACTGGGACGCCGATCGCTGCCGCTTCGTTTTGCGGGATCATGTTCAAGCACGCACCGCTTTACAGAAATGAAAGCAGCTCGCTGTCAGTGTTTGGCGTTGTGGATAGCGGGCACTGAGAAACCTTGCTGTATTATGCCAACACGCGCACCGTACAGCGAATGTAGCGCTGTTGTTACCATGCTGCACACTTTAATTCAGTGACAGCCGAAATGCGCCTGTGTCCGCTGCCAAGACTCCTAGAGCATCACAGAGAACACATTACTTGCAGAAAGCTCTTCGGCGCCGTGTTAACCCAGCAGGCTACTCACCAAATCTGTGCAGCAAGCGGATCGGCAGTCACAGTGTTCACAGAGTGAGCGAAGCGCTGAACGCAACTAGCCAAGCAGTAAGCGATTTGGCTCTCTGCGACTGTATCTCGTATTGAATAAGAAAACTCCGTCAGTTTTTACTTAGAAACAGAATGCGAAACAACTGTATCATAGACAGCCGATTGTGTCTGTTCTGTCCAGGCAGGAAGGAAAGTTGTTTCCTTACTCCATGGTTCTGTCCTGTACGTACCACGCCATATTCCGGATCTCGCGGTGGTTTCGAAATGCTCATCGGCGTCGCCATCACATGCTATCGTGTGGTTCTTCGAGAGTAAGAAACTTTTCCTTGGCAAAAAGAAAGAAATAGCCTTGTGGAGGGCACTTTAGGCAATATTTCCCGCGGCACTGCGTTTCTTATTTTGTTGGCGGAAATGGCGCATGTCAGGGGATGCAAATCTGTATCTGATGGTTAATGCATAGTACGTTTGGTGCGTAGTTATGACGCCATCCCTGGCAGGTACGTATTAATGGAGTCTCACTGTATATAGATACGTATACATATACGGTGCATGACATCGACGCCAACACCGATGCCGGCGGCGAAATCCAGATGATAATGTCCATATAATTGCTATCGCAATAAATGTTAGTTGGCCAGATGAGATTACGACGTTTGTGGCTATAAAGTGGCAGCAGCAAGCACAGGAAAGGACTGAGTTGAATGGCGGAAACAGGGAGAGGCTCTTGTCCTGCAGTGGGCGCAGTCAGGCTGATGATGATGATCTCTCCGTCTCTACAACCTTGAGAATGCACACTCAAGTCACGACATGGACAATTTTTGGCACTGGAGCCGTGCGAGGGCCTGGTGGGCCTGTCGCGCGAACTGTTCCCTCATTCTCTGCACCCTTGCTGCAATGGAGACTTGGTTGATTTCAAAAGTTTAGGTTTTGCCTTCCGCCCGTCTCGTCTTTACTGTTCTCTTGCAAAAGACTACAGTAATTAGTATATACAGCAAAATTAAAGCTCGCTGTTGTCGAGTTTTCCAAAGAAAACGGTATCATGCCACTGCCAAGCGCGTGAAGATCTTCAACGTGTGACGATTGGCGTGATCGGTACGGAGGAAAAGAAAAGAGTGCGCGCTTGCTGATACAGGTTTCCTGCCGCTGAACAAGGCATTTTCAATTATGAGCTCAACGCTTAGGTCCTCCTATATTGTGGGACCCAGTTTCTCCCAGGGCTCCCAAGAAGAGCTTCAAGAAAACGGGACATTCAAACATGCTGGACAGAACTGAGGGTGATGCGCTTCCGTAGGGCAGTGGCAGTTGCCGCGACGATGATTCTCAATCGGACCTCTCGATCAGTGATTCCGAACACCACGTGACCGTATCTGACTGGTTGAAGTACGCGCTAATTCTGTTAAATAAAGATTTACACTTCGTTCATGCTCCATTTTACTTAGTTTTCTTTAATGTATATGCTGCCCACGTTAGGACTATTGCACGTTATTTCGTATGTATAACGAAAAAAATTACGAGCTTCAAGGGAGAGAACTGTTCGCAGTACCCCATCTTGCTCATATGGCTGGCAAAATTGTGCGAGGCGACAACCATTCCAGCAAGGCAATAAGTATATCAAGGCAAGTTCAGCTTCCTGTTCAATTTGTCGTAGCAAACGCATTACTGCGCAACAGTAACCTCTTCGATTTAAAATTTATAGTATGAGGGAGATCGCTTATACCAACCTTGGATGGCTCGGGGTTCACTTTCCTAGTGTTGATTTCTGGGTCTGTCGTCACGAGACGCGTCCACCATTCCATCTTGTTTACCTGTAAGAGAAGGAACTTGAGAATATTTCTTAAAAAGAGGCAAAATACGGATGCAAGGGGGTAACAGTTATTTCATCGTTTGGTACAGCAAAGGAAAAAAAAAGCAAGACGTCATTTTGCGGTCTCAGTGCATTTCTTTTGTGTGCAAGCTGTGGCCGATCGCTGCCTGTGATCATTTGCTGCAACGCCATGGAGATAAGTTTAAGTTCGCACAAGAAGATCTCAAAAGAATAGTTCTTGGCACCGAACTCAAGGGTGCATCATTTAACGGGATGCAATAAATTTCTTTCAACACCAGCTGCACATTTATCTTCCAGAAGTTCGAAGACAAGCTTGTCAGCTTTCCGCATGATCTAGCTTGACTTTTTCGCTATCGTGCTTCTTCAAACAGTTCAATTTGAATGATGCATTTTCATGTTTCGATACTCGTGCGCTCGCAGAGTTTGCGGGTACTTAACACCACCTAGGTAAGTGGGAAATGCACGAAATCCGCCCTGTATTGAATGTCTTTTGCTTTGGGAAAATTTTTCTCTCGCCGCAAGAAGTTTCCAATTGCTGCATAAGAGCACCGAACACGGCGTCATTTTGACGATGCGTTTCTCGCAAATTCAATGCATCAACAGCAGACGTTGAGAATAAAATCAGCAGCAGTGAGTCTGGAGAAGATCCATGATGAAACAAGCGCTAAAAATACACACACTCAGAGAGGACACAGACAAGCGCTTACTAGCAACTGAAAATTTTATTTCGAAGCGAACACTAATAAATTCATCACACGCATGTACGTCATTCCCGACTTCCCCTGTCATCATCAACGACGTGATATAACAACATATGCACTCCCATAATCGATGACACACAACCGGAAACAAACACGTGTCAAGAACTAAAAAAAGAAAACGTAAAACAGGAAAAAAACGTAAAAGAGAAAAAAACAAAAAAACAAGCAACACACTGGGTTATGTGACGTCCAAAAAAGCAAATTCCGCATCTGTTAGTAGAACTGACGCTTGACTGACGCAACTGTCCCCTCCTTCCTTATTCTATACGCTTCCATTATTTCTCTCGTCGTCTGCTTGTTGTGCCTGTCAATAATTCGTGTGTCGGAAAATTTCGGTTGGCAGGTGCACTCCTTGCAGTGCATCGCTAAGTGTGAGTAAGGGGCCTCCTTTAGTGAACTCTCATGTTCACGAAGGTGCACATTTATGCACCGACCCGTCTGACCAACGTATTCCTTTCCACATGTGAAAGGAGTTCCGTATACAACATCTTTTTTGCACTCAACGTACCTCCTGCCATGATTTATGCTACATCTGTTTGATTCTCCAGTTCCTTTATTGTTGTTGACTAGCCTTTCTACTGGTGGACAAATCTTTGATAATTTGTTTTCAGCCGAAAAAACAACCCGCAAGCCATACCATAATGCAACTTTTTCCAACCTATGTGAAATATTGTGCAGATACGGGATGACCACTGTCCGCTCTCTTTCACCCTCAACTTTCAGGAAGATGGTGACACATCGAATTTCAGCACCGATGACGAGGATGTGTCAAGCCGCAAAATCCAGCGAGTGAGTGTCAGCTGTATGTGCGGCACACATCTTGTTGTCTAATTGGTAGTTACGGGCGACGGAGTGTGTACTGACAGCAATTTTACTCATTTTGAGGGTCTCTACGTTCTACGAAACACGATTCCTTGCCAGCATAAGACAAGCGTGTGCAGTGTCTTTCAAGATAAAACCCAGAGGTGGAAGTTGGAGGCGCGCTTGCGAGTAACGTCGATGCTTCGTCCGTACCGTCGATTTCTTCCAGCTGTTTTTCACTGCACAAGTGACCAGCATGATCTGCGACTACACCAACAGTCGATGCTTCGTCCGGACCGTCGATTTCTTTCAGCTGTTTTTCACTGCACAGTTGACCAGCATAATCTGTGAACAGCATAATCTAACCAGCAGACATACGTGGAAAGAGGCAGTTCGTGGAGGAATTTCACTCCAAATGAAGCGATGAAGTGTACTGGAATCCTCATTTACATTGGAATTGTTGAGTTGCCTCGTTTTCATGTCTACTGGAATACCTCAGAGTTAAGTTCAGGCCTTGTTTCTCCAAATATTATGCCCAGAAGCCTTTTTTCGTTCCTTGCCTTGCTAAGTATTACGGACTCGGAGCAGACCTCGTCTGCAATAGCAAGCTGCACAGGATAACCCATTTACGGCAGCCCTCACTAATTTTCTTTTTGCGCAAAGAAGTTTTCTAGAATAATTTTTAAAACTTGTACAACCTTCTTGCAATATAAAAAAGCTAGAAATTGTTTATCTTTAATTATTTTTAAACACATTATTTATAAAAGGGGCCCTAAAACACTTTTTCAAGTAAGGATGAAATAAATTCACTGGAACAGCTCATTGCCTCCCAAATTCAACTCCGCAAAAATTTTGAAAATTTTTCCAGTGCGAGTGAAGTTAGAAAGATTTGTCGCATGCTGCGATTGCACTCTCTCTTCTCTCGTCACGACGAAAGCACTGGAAGCTAAGCAGGAAAAGATGGCAGGGCCAAAGAAAATACGTCACCTACGCCTCGTGACCTTGAGCACATTTTTTTCTTTTTCTTCAAATGCGCGGCTTTTTCCATGTGATCACGCGCGCACGCATGGACAAGTCGTGGCCTCCTGCAGAGAACTCTAATGACCGAGCGCGCCATGTTCAAATCAGCCAATGGCTGATGGATGGGCTTGCTAAGAGTGATTTTTTGGTGTCTTCTGTCATTTATTGAGAGAAGAAAAAGCGATTTTTAGCTGACTTTTATCATTTATTGTGAATTTCGGGCCGCATACTGCACCATCATATTTGGCTTGCGTGTTTTCAGGAGCCTCTACTACCGATCAGCGGTGTTTTCTGACCAAGCTCAAAAAGTGTTGCAGGGCCCCTTTAAGTTGTTGTCCTTTTTAAAGTGTTATATTCCCTGTATAAATTTTCCACTAAAAATTTTTTTGACTTAAGGGGGGACATGGGACCCGATAGTGAAATATATTAGTATTAGGCCAAGAGACATGATTTTTTCAGGGGATATTAAGCTTTGTACACTGATTGAAAATATGTAATTACATTTTCTTTACATCAATCCAAACAAAAGTTAATCTATTCTTAATTTATGAATTTGGGATGTGACTTGCATAAAAAGTAATGCATCAAAAGAGCTATAATTGAACCTGTATATTGCTGGATATCCAAATAGTGCAAATATGCAATTTCATACTAGTATCTAAATTTTAGTTAAAGTTACGAAGTTTTTATGTCGCAGTCTCTTGGCTATGAATTTTCACTGGCGATTTCTGGAAATTTTCAAAATTTTACAGTGTCCTTAATCATTTTAACAAGGTTTTCTTGCACACTTCAATACTCTAGCGTTCAAACAAAAAAAAAATCAAGAAATCGAATCAGTATTAGCGGCACTGTGCTCATCCCAAAATTCAAAACATGCAAAAATCTGTATTTGAGAAAAATGCAAAAAACTGAAAAAGTAGTGAAAATGAAAATCGTATGTTGTCGTACAAGCGTTCATAAACAGGGCGCAGTGCATTGCTCAGAGCCTCTGGCAAATTTTACTTGCTTTTTGGGATGGGCTCATTCCTTGCCATGGCTGCATTTATGCTTGCACCAAGACTCTGGGCCGTGTGCACAGAAGCTGTGGTTTGATTTCTCGTCAGTGGATGTCACATGATGATACGTAGACCACACAGCCTTGTAAATCTCATCTACATTCCCAGATTGGGATTTCAAAGCCCAGCTGTCATAACTCGTCAATTTTGTGATGAGGTCACCCCGCGAGGCGGCCTTTGCCACTGATGTGCTCGCTGCTGTCCGCTTTGTGCTTCTGCACCAGGTTCCGAAGCGCAGTCCCCATCCGCTTCTGCACTTCAACATTTATGAAGCCGTACACCTTAGCTTCTTTCACAGCACTGTAGGACCGGCTGTCACCATCACAAAGCATGGTGGTGTACTTGAGGCCATGAAGCGAGAGGGAGCGCTGAAATAAAATCATTGCTGCCTCTAATTCCATTTGGCCAGCCTTGCATGAGGTATTTTTCTGGCATGAATGCTTGGCTTTCCATTCAGAGTATTCTGGGTTCTCGGGTTTTGAACCACATTCACAGCCGAGGCAAAAATTAGAAATAACAACATAGTCTAGCTCATAACCTGAAAAAAAAACTCAATCACAGTGGCTATTCTAATGTGAGAGGTGTGTCCTCTTGTGTGCCAGCTTCGATCAAAAGAGACGGCAATATTTCCGGGGTTGCCGAAATTGAGTTCCTTGTAGAGGCACTTTACCACTGTGGCACACTTGGTTGGCACAAGCTCTCGTTGCTGCTGGCTGAAGCTTCTTTTTCAAGTACTCTTGGTACGTTTTCGTGAGAAGGCCCCAATGTAAAACACCGATAGTGGCAAAGATGTCATTGACAGCTGTCTGACCATTCCCAGAGCTCTGAACCGCACGTGCCTTGAGAACTAAGTTTTCGAACGGGTTGCAGTTACTGCTGTCACCACCCCGTCGCGAGCTCCATTTCGAACCAACTTCTCCGCAGTTGCTGCAGTGAAGCTTCAGATTAACGGCTACGCCGTACTCGCGCGCATCGCGTTCGATAGTCAACTGACCATGGCACACTCGGCAAGCAGATTGTTCGTTTAATAAACTGTTCACCATGTCGAGGTCAACCATGGTATACCTTGGGGCCGACGAACTTTCGGTGCCGCGCTGACTTGCGAGAACACTCATTTTGCGATCGGTTGCCGAGACTGAGGAAGGTTCCGCTGATTTTTGCTGGGCACGACGCTCGATGAGTTCTCAGTCAGCCGATGTCAAAAATGTTGCGTCTATCCTCGCAGCTCGATTGCACATACTTGAGGTACTGCAGGCAGCGGTCGAAGTCGCCACCACGCTTTCTCTGACTGCGATATTTGCTGCAGCAGCATTCTCTGCTGTCTTAATAACAAGCGGCGGCGT